GTTATTTTGTCAGTATCTGGCTTATTTAATTATTTAATTATATTACATTAATTACCTTTCAAATCTATTTATTAGGAGAACTGATCTATATAAGCGTCCTATATAGAAAACATTGATTCTGGCCGGGCGCAGTGGCTCAAGGCTGTAATTCTACCACTTTGTGAGGCTGAAGCAGGCAGATCATCTGAGGTCAGGAGTTCATGACCAACCTGGTCAACAAGTAAAACCCCATTTCTACTAAAAAATACAAAAATTAGCCAGGGTGTGGTGGCGTATACCTGTAATCCCAGCTACTGGGGAGGCTGAGGCAGGAAAAGCACTTGATCCCGGGAGGCAGAAGTTGCAGTGAGCCAAGATCGCACCACTGCATTCCAGCCTGGATGACAGAGTGAGACTCCGTCTAAAAAAAAAAAAAAAAAAACCTCAAAAAACTTTTATTGTCTCCAACGTATGGTAATCATGTTAAATATTCCTAATATAGTTCTTTCCTTCTGAAAGGGTGGTAGATCTAGAAACTTCCTGCTTTAACAGAAAGCTACGTATATCTCAGGAACAAGGATTTATACATTGGATATTGACATGTGAATTGGACCTAGGAAAGTGTCCAGGGAAAGCAAAAAAAAAAATTTTTTTTTTTGAGATGGAGTCTCACTCTGTTGTCAGCCTGGAATGCAATGTCATGATCTCCGCTCATGGCAACCTCTGCTTCCTGGGATTAAGTGATTCTCCTGCCTCAGCCTTCTGAGTAGCTGAGATTACAGGCATGCGCTACCACATCTGGCTAATTTTGTATTTTTAGTAGAGACGTAGTTTCTCCATGTTGACCAGGCTGGTCTTGAACTCCTGACTTCAAATGACCTGCCTGCCTTGGCCTCCCAAAGTGCTGGGATTATAGGCGTGAGCCACTGTGCCTGGGCACAAATTTTTTATAATTTTTTTTGAGACAGAGTCTCTCTTATGTTGCCCAGGCTGGAATCCAGTGGCATGATCTCACCTCACTGCAACCTCCGCCTCCCAAGTTTCAGTGATTTGTGTGTCTCAGGACACAAGATATAAGTACTGTTATAATGTGATTAGTCACTTAAAAATTCAACTTTAAAAATAATTGTTTAAGGTGAATATACCGGGTCATTTGACCATAGGCAACAGATATTTCTGCTTTGTTCTACTTTGTTAAATAGATTTTTTAAAGCTCCCTTGATGTTACTTATTTTGGTGATTTCAGATTCATATGGTCTTCGTTGAGTTATGATTGAACTATCTTAAAAGTTTTCTTAAAAATTATATTGAAAATGCTGAATTATTGTAATTATTTGTAATATTTCTATTTATACACTAAAGCAACTTAGTTTATCTTATGGAATTGCAGTGATAACTATTTTGAGTACATGGTTGGTGAATTGGGACAATATTGGAAAACAGATTAAATTTAAAGTATTTTTCTTTATTGCAAAATAATTAATATAGTAACAAAGTCTAATAAATATAGAAGGCATTATCCATTCCCACTTTTCAGAAGTAACAGGAGTTGGTGGTTTGTGTTTCCAAGGCCTATAATATAGGGGGTGGGATTAAAGAATAGAAATGGAGGTTATAATTGACCATATGTCATTTTGCTCCAGTCATTTTATTTTATTTTTTTAAAAAACAGGTGTCTGCTTTGGGTCTGGATCCCTCAGGTGCCCGTTTGGTGACAGGAGGATATGACTATGATGTTAAATTTTGGGATTTTGCTGGAATGGATGCTTCTTTTAAGGCATTTCGATCCCTTCAGCCCTGTGAGTGGTATGTATTCATTTACTTATCTTACATTACTTATTCACTTACAAACATCTTCATGTTTGACTTAATATCTTCCAATTGGAAGACAGTGCTGTTAGCATGGGAATTCCATCTACAATGATTTGTATCGAAATACATTACGTTTATATGACTGTATACTGCCTTCATTATTTCAATGAAGTAAAATGAGCCTTACATTTCTTTCATTTCATAAACCTATGTTTTAGTCTGGGCATGGTGGCTCGTGCCTGTAATCCTAGAACTTTTGGAAGCTGAGATGAGCGGATTTCCTGAGGCCTAGCGTTCGAGACCAGACTTGTCAACATTGTGAAACCCTGTCCCTACTAAAATTACAAAAATTAGTTGGGCTTCGTGGCGCGTGCCTGTGATCCCAGCTAATTGGGAGGCTGAGGCAGGAGAATTGCTTGAGCCCAGGAGGTGGAGGTTGCAGTGAGCTGAGATCGTGATGCTGCACTCTAGCCTGGGCAACAGAGTGAGACTACGTTTCAAAAAAAAAATTACAAAAGGCCTGGCACAGTGGCTCATGTCTGTAATTCCAGCACTTTGGGAGGTTGAGGCAGGTGGATCACCTGAGGTCTGGAGTTCAAGACCAGCCTGTCCAACATGGTGAAACCCCATCTCTACTAAAAATATAAAAACTAGCCAGGCATGATGATGCACACCTGTAATCCCAGCTACTTAGAAGGCTGAGGCAGGAGAATTACTTGAACCCGGGAGGTGGAGGCTGCAGTGAACTGAGATTGCACCACTACACTCCAGCCTGGGTGACAGAGGGAGACTCTGTCTAAAAATAATAATAATAAATTATATTATGTAAATATGACAGAATTTAGTTTCTTTTTTCTTTTTTGTTTTTTTTTTTTTTAGACAATTTAATTTCAAAATATAATTTCAAAGTATATTACAGGCATGTGCCACCATGCCTGGCTAATTTTTGTATTTTTAGTAGAGAGGGGTTTTTGCCATGTTGGCCAGGCTGGTCTCGAACTCCTGGCCTCAGGTGCTCCCCCTGCCTCAGCCTCCCAAAGTGCTGGGATTATAGCTGTGAGCCACTGTGCCTGGCCAAAAATGAACCTATCATTTCTAGTTTGTTTTAAAACATTCCAATTAAACCTGAGAAATGTATTTGTGTATGACATATATTAAACCATTATCCAGGTGCCAATCCATTTTGTACTGTTTAGGTATGGTCAGCTAGCATTGTGTTAGAAAGAGCCTTCCATGTTGCTACAATGAGCCAGTCTCTCTCTTATTTATTTATTTATTTATTTTGAGACAGGATCTGACTCTGTTGCCCAGGCTGCAGTATAGTGGCGAGATTTTGGCTCACTGCATCCTCTGCCTCCTGGGCTCAAGACATCCTCCCATCTCAGCCTCCCAAATAGCTGGGACTGTGGCTGTGCACCACCGTGCCTGGCTGATTTTTATATTTCTTTGGCAGAGATGGGGTTTCACCATGTAGTCCAGAGTGGTCTTGAACTCCTGACCTCAAGTAATCTGCCTGACCTCTTTCCAAAGTGCTGGGATTACAGGAATGAACCACCGTGCCTAGCCCATAAGCCACTCTCTCTTCTGTTTTCAACTGTATCTGATCTTTTGGTATATTGCTTTGTTATGGTATCATTTAACTTTATGGTCCCCAACCTTTTTTGTGCTAGTGACTGGTTTTATGTAAGACAGTTTTTACATGGACTGAGGATAATGTGGAAGTGAGGGTGGCGGATGGTTTCCAGATGAAAGTGTTCCACTTCAGATCATCAGGCATTAGATTCTAATAAGGATTGTGCAACCTACAGATCCCTCACATGCACAGTTCACAATAGGGTTCACACTCCTATGAGAATCTAATGCCGTCGTTGATTTGACAGGAGCTGGAGATCAGGCAGTAATGCTCGCTCACCTGCCCCCACACCTGCCATGCACCTGGTTCCTAACAGGCCACAGACTAGTACCAGTCCATGGCCCGGGCTTTGGGACTCTTGATTTAACTTGTTTCTATATCTCCTCTCTAATATTTCCTATGGAAGATCAAAGGCTTTATCATAATTTATATTGTATCACTTCAGGTGGCAGGTATTGTCTAGTTGTTTCACTGTTAGTGAATAGAAACTAAGGTATATCCCTGGATTAAGGTGGTGACATATGATTTCTTCATTGTAAAGTTAGTATTTTTTACTTGAGATTGGCAAGAACTTTTTGGAGAGAGAGTTTGGTACCATGTAAAATATCCAGATACTCATGATTTTCACTTAATGAGCTTAGTGTCCATTGACGATTTTTCCTGAAACAGTTATGTCATTGAGGGTTACAAATTGGTGATTTTCTTATTCTGTTATTTCATCTGCATTTATTTCTTGGCATCTTCTTAAAGAAAACCTTTTCCTCATTAAATACTGATGTTATTTGGTTACCCTGAGATACAGTTACTACTGAAGAGGCAGGATAAATGCTTAGTTATCTTTCTTTCATTGACCATTTTTAGCTTAAGGGTTGGTGGTGATAAATGAGTTGTTTCTGTTACTGGTGATGATTTCTTTTTCTTTTTTGAGTATCAGTATTTATGATTTTTAAATTTTTATGTTCCAGTCAATTGCAGTCATTATTCTTTTTGATGTTTAGATTGTCCTAGATTTGTCTAGTAGGAGTCCCTGAATACTGTGTAACTTTGACATGACCTTACTAGTCTTTAAAACATACTTGTTTTCTGGTACAACATGATATAGGCTTCCTGTTACATTCCTTTCCAAGTCTTGGAATCAGTACTTCCCCAAGGAGCCATCTTTTTTTTTTGTGGGAATGGTATTTAGAGACCAAATCTGGATGCTAGGCATGCTCATTGATATTGAGATATTATTGCTTTTGACCTTTTGATGGAAAGAGGTAGAAATATAGTTGCATATGTATGCATGGATATATGTATCTATGTTTAAATTACAGGGTTTCATTGATATTTCTGTTTCAATTTCAAAATGTTAGCAAGCTTTTAAATTTCAGTTTTTAAATGTATGTATACGCTACAAAGATAGTACAGAGTTCATGCATACACTTCACCCAGTTTCCCTTATGATTAATGTCTTATCTTACCATGGTCCATTTGTCACAGTTAGGAAGCTAACATTTGTCAGTTACTATTAATCTCCAAACTTGGTTTGGATTTCACTGTTTTCTTTAATGATTCCCCCAACATACCACATTACCTTTGGTCCTTAAATTTGTTCAGTCTTCTCTGGTTCCTGGCAGTTTCTCAGTCTTTGATTGTTTTTCATGACCATGACAGTTTTGAGGGGTACTGGTCAGGTGTTTTGTAGAATGTCTCTCAATTTGGTTTTATCTGATGCTTATCTCATGGTTGGATTGAGATTATGAGTCCTTGGGAAGAATATCACAGAGGTGAAGTGGATTTTTTATCACATTATATCAGGAGTACTTCTATCATGCGATTCTCCTTCCTCAGCCTCCCAAGCAGCTGGGACTACAGGTACGCGCTACCACACCCAGCTAATTGTTATATTTTTAGTATAGATGGGGTTTCACCATGTTGGCCAGGCTGGTCTTGAACTGTTCACCTCATGATCCACTCTCACTGGCCTCCCAAAGTGCTGGGATTGCAGGCATGAGCCACCATGCCCGTCCTAAATATCCCCTTCTTAACAAAAACTGTGTTATGGATAGTAACTCATTGCTTTCAATCGGTGTTACAATTTTTTGTTAATATCTTTTAATTTTGTTTTTGATGTCCTTTGTTTTCTGAAGTGTAAAATATCTTTTTAAATTAAAAGTAACTCATGTTCTTTTGTTATGTCATATAAAAATATGAAATGAAAGTTCCTCAATACCCCCACATACTATACTTCCATTTCTAGGACATAACCTCTCAAACTTTGCCAAATAAATAAAAAACATAAATATGTAAATTATGTTACAAAAGTGGAATTTTTTTAAAAATTACTTTTTCTGTTTAACAAATATTTATGGAAATCTTTCTAAAAGCCACAGACTGGAATATTTGTGACACACACATATTATAAAAAACTTTATCAACCAATCCAAGAAAAGCAACCCAGGTTTTAAAATGGTCAAAAGTTTTGAATAGTTACTTCATCTAAGAAGACATATAAGCTCAATATCACTAATCCTCAGGGAAATTCAAATTGAAACCCAAAGATATATCACTATATACCCAGCTAAAATTTAACGTATTGGCAATACCAAGCGTAGGTAAGGATATGAAGTAACTACAACTCTTACGCATTGCAGCTAAGAAAGCTAAATGATAACATCACTTTTGAAAAGTTGGGCAGTTTCTTATACAGTTAACACATACATGCCGTATGACAAAGCAGTTCACACTTAGGTATTTACCCAGGGAAATAAAAATATCTGTCCACAAAAAACGACCTGTACAGGAGAATATTTTTTTTTTTTGATACGGAGTTTCGCTCTTGTTACCCAGGCTGGAGTGCAATGGTGCGATCTCGGCTCACTGCAACCTCCGCCTCCTGGGTTCAGGCAATTCTCCTGCCTCAGCCTCCTGAGTAGCTGGGATTACAGGCATGTGCCACCATGCCCAGCTAATTTTTTGGTATTTGTAGTAGAGACGGGGTTTCACCATGTTGACCAGGATGGTCTCGATCTCTTGACCTCGTGATCCACCCGCCTTGGCCTCCCAAAGTGCTGGGATTACAGGCGTGAGCCACCGCGCCCAGCCTTGTACAGGAGAATTTATAGAAGCTTTATTCCCAATACCTAAAAACTGGAAACAAGCCAAATATCTATCAACTGGTAAAGAGATCAATAAACTGTGTAATTTAGTCATACAAAAGAGTATTACACAGTTATAAAAGGGAACAAAACTATTGATAGAGGCAAAATCAGATCAGTGGTTACCTGGGTGGTCAGGAGGAGGGACTGACTGCAAAGGGCCTAGAGGGAACTCTGGAGGACAATCATAGTAGTATGACTATGACTGTATGCGTTTTTCAAAATTCATAGAACTATACAAATAAAAATAATAAATTTTACTAAATGTAAATTATACCTGAGTAAATGTGACTTTTTAAAAGTTGATTAAAAGAGTAGAAAATTAGTAAAGTGAATTTGCTTAAGAGGTTTTCACAAACTGTAGCAAAAAAAAAAAAAAAAAAAAAAAAAAGAACTGAACAGAGAGAGAAAAAGGGAAATGGAGAACAGATAACAGAAGGCCAAAACTAAATAGCCTATACTCCCAAAAAAGAAATCAGGGCCAGGTGCAGTGGCTTATGCCTGTAATCTCAGCACTTTGGGAGGCCAAGGCAGGTGGATCACTTGAGGTCAGGAGTTCAAGACCACATATTTATGTCTAGAGGTACCTTGTTACTTACCATAATAGTTTGTACATGCTGGATTTGGCCACTTAAAGGTAGGTTCAAGATACACACTATCCAATGTAGCAGTTACCTAGCCATATGTAGTTATTTACATTTTAATTATTTAAAATTTGATTTTAGAAAAATTCCTTTGAATTAGTAAACATTAGTAAACAAGTATTCAATAACCACATGGGATGAGTGACTACCATATGGGATGATACAAATATATGATAGCTCCATTACCACTGAAAGTTATATTGGACAGCAATATTAAATGGCTGGAATCATCAAGTGATGACACTTGGACTACTCAATCAAATAGAAATTACAGCTAGAAAAAATTTTTATTTTCTTTCTTAACCAAAGATCAGAGGCATCAAATCAGTTTTTAAAAATTTTTTTGTTTTGTATTATACTTTGGGCTCTGGGGTACATGTGCATATCCTGCATCCTATGGGATTGTAGGTACATACATGCCATAGTGGTTTGTTGTCTCCATATTCCCCTTCACCCCCCCGTCGCCTACATCAGGCATTTCTCCTGATGTTATTCCTCCCTATCCTCCCTGGCCCTCCACTGTTCCTCTTCTCCCCCCACCTAGCCCAGTGAGTGCTGTTCCCTTCCCTGTGCCCAAGGATTCTCATTGTTCATCACCCACCTATGAGTGAAAACATGCGATATTTGGTTTCTGTTCTTGTGTCAGTTTGCTGAGAATGATGGTTTCTAGATTCATCCATAAACTCAAGAGCTTCTGCACAGGAAAAAAAAAAAAATAAAAAACAAAACAAGAATTAGAGTGAACTGGCAACCAACAGAAAGGGAAAAAATTTTTGCAATCTACTCATCTGTCAAAGGGTTAATATGCAGAATCTACAAAGAACTAAAGCAGATTTACAAGAAAAAAAAACCCATTCGAAAATGGGAGAAGGATATGAACAGACACTTTTCAAAAGAAGACATATATGCAGCCAACAAACATATGAAAAACTGCTTATCATCATTGGTCATTAAAGAAATGCAAATCAAATCAGATTTTACTCTCTTTTCTTGTAAAAGGTAGGCTGGGCATGGTGGCTCCCACTTGTAATCCCAGCACTTTGGAAGGCCAAGGCAGGCGGATCACCTGAGGTCGAGAGTTGGAGACCAGCCTGACCAACATGGAGAAACGCCGTCTCTACTAAAAATACAAAATTAGCTGGGTGTGGTGACACATGCCTGTAATCCCAGCTACTCAGGAGGCTGATGTAGGAGAATCACTTGAATCCAGGAGGTAGAGGTTGCAGTGAGCCGAGAGCTTGCCATTGCACTCCAGCCTGGTCAACAAGAGCAAAATTCCATCTCATTAAAAAAAAAAAGTATCCATTTACACACACACACACACACACACACACACACACACACACACACACACAGATAAATTTAACAAGGACCATTTGTGACTTGTCAAGCCTAAAATACGATCAGGCCCTTTACAAAAAAATTTTGCCAATACCTTGACCAATAACTGGTTTCTTAAAAATGAGTTCTGTCTTTTAATTTGAGTATCAAAATAAAAGACATTAAAAAAATTCTGTAATGTTAAATTTAAATGGAACACAGGTGCAATTAACAATTCTGATATTGCTTTACATGTATACTGAGGCTGAATAGGTAAGTAAATGGATAGTGGAAGCTAGGTTTCTTGCCATTGGAAAGTAATGATACAGAAAAGCAGAAGATTAGAATAAATCAACACGGTACTGGATTAGACTTAGAAACATCAGTATAAACATGTTCAGGTTAACACAGATGCAGACAGATACAAAAATAATTAGAAATATACTATATACAAAAAATTGGAATGTAGGACTTGAAAAATAAAAAAAAATATACTATATACATAGGTTAGTGTAATATCTATGCATGTATTTCCTAGCTTTGTCAATTGAGGCAGCCTAAGAGCAATGACATCCCAGGAGCAATGAGCATATTAAGAACCTACATCTTATTTGCTAATATAATTCTCCTGGGGGAAAAAAAAACTGATTCTAGAACTGGGGCAGGGAAAATACAAGCATCTATAGCCTGGAGCTTTTTTTTGAGATGGAATTTTACTCTTGTTGCCCAGGCTGGAGTTTAATGGCATGATCTCAGCTCACTGCAACCTCTGCTTTCAGGGTTCAAGCAGTTCTCCTGCCTCAGCCTCCTGAATAGCTGGGATTACAGGCACCCGCCACCACACATGGCTGATTTTTGTATTTTTAACAGAGACAGGGATTTGCAGTGTTGGACAGGCTGGTTTCAAACCCCTGACCTCAGTTGGTGCATCTGCTTTGACCCCCCAAAATGCTAGGATTACAGACGTGAGCCACCTCACCCGGCCTGGAGCATCTTATAGTGTCAGAAATTAAGGAAGTATTTCCAAAAATAAAAGAAAGGAGGCATGTCAAAGAGACACAAGACCAAACTAAAAGAGCTCCCAATCACCACAGTTGAAACAAGATGAGCAACAAAATAAATAACACAGTATTGGATTAACCCAAGGTACTGTGTAAAGTAAATAGCCAGGGCCAGGCAGAGTGGCTCACACCTGTAATCCCAACACTTTGGGAGGCCGAGACAGGTGGATCACTTGAGGCCAGGAGTTGGAGAACAGCCTGACAAACAGGGCAAAACCCTGTATCTATTTAAAATACAAAGAGATTAGCCAGGTATGGTGGCACACACCTATAATCCCAGCTACTGGGGAGGCTGAGGCACAAGAATCATTTGAACCCCAGAGGAAGAGTGAGCCAAGATGGCGTCACTGCATGCTAATATCAGAAAGAAGGGGATATTTGAATGCTAAAACTAGCCAAAGGAAATGAATTAATAAATAACAGCAGAAGAAATACAAATAGTCAGTAAACATAAAGATACTCAGCTTCAGTAATAAAGAAGGAAAAATGAAAATGCCAGTGAGGTACTATTTATTACCTATAAGATTGACAAAAGTGAAGAACACATATACTACCCAATATAAGAAGGCTAAGGTGGATAAATGACCAGACTATTTTTTCTGCATAACAATTTAATAATGTCTTTATTTATTTATTTTTTTTTGAGACAAGAGTCTTACTCTGTTGCCCAGGCTGGAGTATAGTGGTGCTATCTTGGCTCACTGCAACCTCCACTTTCTGGGTTCAATGGATTCTCATGTCTCAGCCTCCCAAGTAGCTGGGGCTACAGGTGTTTACCACCATGCCTGGCTAATTTTTTGTATTTTTAGTAGAGATGGAGTTTTGCCATGTTGGCCAGGCTGGTCTTGAACCTTGAAGCTTGAGGCCAAGGGCCTCAAGTGATCTGCCCACCTTGGCTTCCCAAAGTGCTGAGATGATAGGTGCGAGCCACTGCACCCAGCTAATGTATCTTATTCTGATGTAAACTCTGAACTATGATGGCAAGATTTGGAGAAACAAATAACTATAGGCATGGTGGGAGTGTAAATTGGCACTATCGTATAGAGGGCAATTTGGCATTCTTTTCCAAATTACAAATGCATATACCCTTTGACTAAGTAATCTACTTTTAGGAATTTCTCTGACAGATATATTCACATATGTGGAAATGACCAGGAACAAGTTTATTTATTACAGCATTGAATATAATGGTGACGCATGTTTTCTTGAATATTTTTCACCACAAAACAACAGTCTGATATGTTCTTTTTTCTTTAAATCAGTTATATTCTTTGTATTTTATATCTTAGCTATATTTTTATATCACAGCTATATTCTTTGTCTTTTATATCTTAGAACCATACAGTCTATATGGCCAGTGGCCCAACTCTAGTCCATGGCTTGTTTTTGTATGGCAGTTGAACTAAGAATGATTTTAAAAAAATTTGTTTCACAATTTTAAAGGGTTGTGAAACAAACCGCAAAATGATGAAGAAGAATATAAGACAGAGATCATAATATGGCTCGCTAGGCTTAAAATATTTTTTTGGTCCTTCACAGAAAGTTTGTTGACCTACTGTAAAAGCTCTTCACAACCCCTTATTTATTTATTTATTTTTTTTGAGACGGAGTTTCGCTGTTGTTACCCAGACTGGAGTGCAATGGCATGATCTCGGCTCACCGCAACCTCCGCCTCCTGGATTCAAGCAATTCTCCTGCCTCAGCCTCCCGAGTAGCTGGGACTACAGGCCCACCTACTGGCCACCATGCCCAGCTAATTTTTGTATTTTTAGTAGAGACGGGGTTTCATCTTGTTGACCAGGATGGTCTCGATCTCTTGACCTCCTGATCCACCCGCCTTGGCCTCCCAAAGTGCTGGGATTATAGGCTTGAGCCACCGTGCCCGGCCTATTTTACTCCTCTTATTTACTCTCTCTGCCTGGTAAGAAACAGGCTGAAAAGATTCTTCTTGTATCTCCTTACCTTTTTAAACTCACTGCTTGTGGCCAGTGGAAATGTGAATGTGCCTGTGATCTGAGGAAGTTTGAGGGAGCTGGGATTGAGAGTAACCCTTGTTGTGGCAGGTCTCTATGTAATGGGTGCTGTGTTTTTAGGAAAGATAATAGGTTTCTGTCTATATATCATTGTTTTATTAACCTCATCTTACCTCTTCCACATCGTTTTTTTTGTACCTCCTGCCTAATTTTTGTGACAACTGCTTCCATAAGGGCATCCTTGCTGCTTTGAGAGTGAACTGCCCCTGGATTTCATGATTTCTGGGATAGTTTCACACAAGGCTGTTGCACTCTTTCTGAGAGGTGCTTTCCTAATCATTCTGATCTTTTCCCAATAGAAATTTCTGGATAATTTTTAGTTTTCAGTAGTCCCTTTCATTTCTCCCAATTTTTATATTTTTCTAGGTTATTTCTTTTAGCATTTGGAGTAGGGAAGGCTGATAAAGTCCTCAGCTCTTTTTCCATAGAACTCTTCTATACTTCCTATATTTCCAAATTCTTTTTTTTAATTGACAAGTGCATTTTGATCTATTTCCAAATTCTTAAGGATTCTTATTTATATTATTTTTTACACCCCCTGCAGAATCAACCTTATATTGACAAAGTATATTTTTGGATGACCTTTTACAAGTCCTTAATTTTTAACTCTTGAGTATTTTGGTTAACAATAATTAAGACAGGTACTAAACATATACTAACTTGTAGTGCATTTGAAATAACATTGCATTTGGCTACTACGATTTTATACCCCTCAATCATAGACCTTGAAAATAAAGGATTAATAATAGTAATTACTTGTTTCAGTTACTGTACTAGGTGTCTTTATGTATATTATTTTTAATCCTCATCCCACTTTTATAAAAAGTATTATTTCTCGTTTTTTTCAGTGGACAAAACCAGGACTCAGCAAAGTTGTATTAACTCGTACATGAGCTCTGTGGTTCAGGAGCATCTCTGTATAGTGCTGCCATCTAGTCTCCTCTCCTAATTTTCCATAAAATAAAGAGACTGAGTCTAGTGAAGCCAGTGGACTTGCTCATCATCACACAGCTAGTTAGCAGCAGAATGAGGACTTGGATCCCTGAACTCCTGACTCACATTCCGGTGCACTTTTCACTGCAGCAGGAGACCTTGGCTCTTGCACCCCAAGTGACAGCCCCAAACAGCTGTGTTTATCTGCCTTGCATGTCCAAGCTTGTTTTGCTAGCTGAGCAAAAACTACTTAAGAGGATCCTCAGTCTTCACCCTCCCACTCCCCTCCACTTACACTCATATACTCCCACTTGCCCCATGAATAACTTCACAGAAACAATTGTGCAATGTCACTAAGCCTTCCTCTGGTGTCAGAGTTACTCCCTGAGAGAACATTCACTTCCTCATGACTCCAGTTTACTGGTCAGATTGGCTTTCCTTCTCTTCTCTTTGATCGGAATCTTAGTTGTTTAGGTAGGAATTTGAGGAGCAGATGTTATGCCCCTTGAACAAGCCCTTTAATTCTCCTTATTACTGTGTCTAATGACTCTTAATCCTGCCCTTTTAACTCTGTGGCTTGCAGATTTAAGAGTGAAGTGAGACAGGAATGATGCCGAACATTTCATTTTAATGTTGGTAAAGTAGTCTGCTGAGAGTATGTGACAAACAGTGAGACAGAGAGAAAATGTAAAAAGTGTTCCTATATAGCAGAAAAACAATGTGAATATTAGTGTGGGATCACTGAGATTTTGAGTTTCCCTGCCAAATGTAGAGCAGTTTGGTTGAGTAGTTGGCAGAGAAATAGAGCTGTTGACTGTTTCTACATTCTCTTCTTAAACTTTTCTGTTTTTTAGATTTTTATTTCCCTTTTAAAATAAAAATAAACCACCAGAAGAAACAAAGTGATCTCTTATTTTTTGTGGTTACTGGAGAAAATCACATTTCCCCCAAATGACAGTAGCATTAACAAGGATAAATCCTGTGAACTGATTCATTCAATTCTTGAGAGATTTTGGTTTAGCACTCTGAACTTTCTGATTATCAAAGATCTCATGTGTTTGCTAATATGTAAAATAACAAATTAGACTTAATGCCCTGTAATTTTCTTGGTTTCTGATTAATTGCCTGAAATTTGATCTGTCAGTCCGTGTCTGATTAGGATAGAGAAATTATAGGTAATTTGAACAAGGAAAGATTAATACGAAGAATTGCTAGCTATAACAGGGTTTTAGAGTAATGAGTATTGGCTATAAAGAGAACTCTAACGAATAACAGATAAAAGGAGCGTCAACCTCTGGGATTGAGATACAACACCCAAGGCCTCTGGGATTAAGATCCAGACCCTGTTTGAGGGGGCATGGCTGTGGCTCACTGAATGAAGAGAAGTTGCTGTGGTAGAAATCTGTCTCATCAGAGTCATTCTGCTGTAATAATACTGCCTTATGGAGATACTAGTGGAAGATACTGAGTGCTGCTGACTGCTGTGCACTTCAGGAGCCTGACTATGGATCAAACTGCACAGGTGCTGGATCTGGACACTGAAGAAGCTGTGTTGCAGTACAGGAGCCTGCCAAGAGGAGCACACAAGACTCTTGGAAAGAAGAGAAAAATCTCTTCCTCTTGCAATGTCAGTTTAACATCATGCCAATTAACATACGTTTAAGGGGTCCAAGTTCATTTCTGCAGAGCAGACAGGAAAGGATAAATTTGGAGATGAGAGACAATAAATGAATAACTGGCATATTTGGTCAAACATGTAATTTTATATCTTAGATGGACAAATTTAAACACAAGTCTATAGGTGTTTTCCTTACAAGCTTACATTTAAATTAGGGATCCTGATCAGAATTTTGCTAATGACTTCATTCTTTCCCAGCATTTCAGGAAGGATACCATGGGGCCAGAGCCACCTTTCTTTTTGGGAAGGTCCTGGGCTATGGCCCCTTGTGCTTTTCTGGGCTCCTTTCTCATGGGCATCTGGTTTGGGAGCTTCTTATCTTCATCTGCTTCAACAATTTAATCTTGCGCATTGTAGTGAAATGCTTTACACTGTCACACATTCTAATCTCAGAGACCATTCAAATCCTTTTGAATTTTCTTGGCCATTGAAATTAGTACTCTGGAATCAGTACGTTAAAAATTTTTTTTAAACTCTCAGCTAGAATTTAAATATTTTAGAAGAAATGGTCAGTATAAATTTGGAGAAGCAGTTTCTAGCTAGTGTTATCTGTGTAGAAAAGCAGTTTCATTGATAAGTATCTGATTTGGATTTATATTTATTTTGGGTTTTCTTTTTTAAGAGAATGGCACCTGTGACAGCATACTTTTTTTTTTTTTTTTTTTAATACTTTTAAGTTCTGGGTTACATGTGCAGAACGTGTGGGTTTGTTACATAGTTATGCATGTGCCATGGTGGTTTATGTCATCCATCACCCTGTCATCTACATTGGGTATTTCTCTTAATGCTATCCCTCCTGCATACTTTTAATGTTACCCCTGTGTGGTACTTTAGCATGCCATCCAGAATGTTACAAGCCATTTTGGAGCGTGATGAATAACAAGTTTTTACCTCAGGAGTTCACTTTAATAGTCGTGTTTATATTTGTGACTGCAAGTCACTTTTAGGGACTATACATTCTTAGTACTGCCAGCATTATTATCCAATGGACTTTTATGGCTTTCATTGGGTTTTCTTTTGTTTTGTTCTTAAAGAACATTTTACTTAACTTAGTATTTCGTTTTTCATCTGCATTATGAGGCAATAAGAGTCTTCTGTTTTTCCAAAGTTGAGATTGCTTTATATTTACTTAATGTTGTCTGTAGCTGCAGTGTTCAATACATTAGCCACTAGCCACATGTGGTTATTTAAATAAGATAAAATCAAAATTAAAAATTAAGTTATTTAGTTGCACTAGCCACATTTCAGATACTGGATGGATACAAGTGGCTAGTGGCTACCATAATGGATAGCACAGATACAAAACATTTCCTTGTCATAGAAAGTTCTGTTGGATAGTGCTGGTCTGTAGTATATAGGATATTATCTTAGTCTGCTTCAGCTGCTAACACAGAATATCATAAATTGGGTGGCTTAAACAATAGATACTTTGGCCAGGTGTGGTGGCTTATGCCTGTAATCCTAGCACTTTTGGGAGGCTGAGTCAGGTGGATCATTTGAGCTCAGGAGTTTGAGACCAGGCTGGACAACATGGCAAAACCTTGTCTCTACAAAAAATAAAAAAGATTAGCTGGGCATGGTGGTGCACACCTGTAATCTCAGTTACTTGGAAGGCTGAGATGGGAGAATTTCTTGAACCTGGGAGGCAGAGGTTGCAGTGAGCCATAATTGCAACACTGTACTCCAGCCTGGACAACAGAGGGAGACTCTGTCTCAAGAAAACCCCCCAAAACAGTAGTTATTTTTCATAGTTCTGGAGACTGGAAGTGTAAGATCAAAGCATTGACAAATTATGTTTATTGAAGAGGGCCTGCTTCCTAGATTGGAAATGGCCATTTTCTCACAGTATCCTCACATGTAGGGAGAGAAGCAGCTCTAGCATCTCTTCTTATAAAGGAACTAATCCCACCATAGGTCTCTATTTTCATTACTTTGTTTGTACCTAATTATTTCCTAACAGCCATACCTCCTAATATCACTTTGGGGGTTAGGGCTTCATCATATGAATTTTGGGGGAAACACAAACATTCAGTCTGTAGCAGATGGTAGCAGGTTTATATATTGCATTTGTTGATGTGACAGCTTTCTTCCTTTCCAGGAACAGATTTTTAAATATTTCACAATACCAATAATTTTTCAGGTTCTGTGAGACTCTTATAATTTATAATTTCCAAACTTAATCTATAATCTATTTTGTTCTAACAATTACAAATATATTTTTTTATTTCAAATTGCATATATTCCTGCCACATGGAGGAATAAAAACACTGCTTTTTAAAATTTTATTTTTTCATTTTATTACACATATTGACATTAAATTTTTATTGACACATAATAATTGTACGTATATATGGGGTACAATGTGATGTTTCAGTACATGCACTCAATGCGTAATGATCAAATCAGGGTAATTTGCATTATTTTTTTTTGTAGGAAAAACATTCAAAATCTACTCTTCTGGCTATTTTCATATATACAATACATTATTGTTAATGATACTCATTCTACTATGCAATAGGATACCAGAACTTATTCCTGAGTTCTATATCTGTTTATTAAACTAACCAAGGATTGGAAATATTGGCAAAATATTGTGTCTGTACTAAACTTGTGCAGACTTTTTTCTTGTCATTATTCCCTACACAATATAGTACAATAACCATTTGCATAGCATTTACATTGTATTAGGTCTTATGAGTAATCTAGAGTTGATTTGAAGTATATGGAGGATATGCAAAGGTGATTTGCAAATACTATGTTATTTTACCTCAGGGACTTGAGTATCCTTTGTTATCCTCAGGAGATCCTGGAACTTGTCCCCCATGGATACTGAGGGATGACTGTATAGTCCTATTCCCATGAATTTTGATTTTAATGAGGAAAGACTGACTATAAACAAAATATATATAATAACAGGTGGTGCTAAGTGCTGTGAAGTAACAAACTGGGCAACGCGAGTTATACAGCTCCATTCTTAGAAAGCTTGGAGTACTTTTCTTAGTTTGCACTTGTGATGGTTTCCTTTTGTCTCCTTTATTACATGGGACTCTGACATGTGGCCATAGCTAGGATGGCAGTAGGATCTACCCCAAAAGCATCCTGTTGGTCTTGAGCCTATAAGGAAAGCTAATGGTCTTGCTCCGATTAACTGTGGCCTCCTACACTGACACTGTTTGATGATTGGTGATGTCTTGGATATTCTGTTTCTTTGGAACTTTGAATATACAACACTTTGCTAGGGAATTGGCAATGGAAGCAGAGCAAAAATGTTCAAACAGAAAACAGAATGTGTAACTCTGATGGAATTGAAGCTATGAGGCAGCAGAAAGCTTAAAGAGGCAGAGTGGGAGGATTAGAGGGAATTTAATTGGGAGTAACAGAAGTAATAATAACAGAGACAGAATACTTGAGTCTCATAATTGCAAAGCAGAGTTGGGAGCAACAGATGCTAAAGGGTAGTTTCTGTAGTTCCTCCTTGGGTGGTAGGAGCAGTTGTCATATTACTGTATAGCTACTGAATGAAGAAGAGTTCTTAGTGAGGCCTGGATGAACAGCTCTTCTTAGTATTCTTTGTGACCCGTTTGACCT